CCCATGTGCGCACCTGAAGATACGATGATGTATAATCAATGATGATGTTACACCGTTATATGCAAAATGATTACCCATCTTTAAATGCTTGTCTAATTCCAAAATAAAAATGCAACTTTACACCCACATAATACTATAATAATATATGAAGTATATCATTATTAATCTTAGGACCTGGAATGCCAAGATAAATAACACCACACCCTATAAAAAAAACTTTTTGTACTGTCGTGTTATAAACATCTTCAAAAAACATCATATTGTTCACCCACATACCGCCTACTCCTGTCGACCCGGGTCATAAAATATTTTACTTAAAATACACCCTTTATAGATAATTGGTACTTCTAGTCACGGAACCCTAGCCTTAGATATTTAAAATATCACATTTACATGTCTTATATATTTCCTTTATGTTGTCTGTTCACACACAACTCGTGCTCAGTCTGCACCCAATTTTGTTTTGCCCGTGGGCAGACTTGATTGTCGGATAGGCAAGTAATATATCCGATGGGGCAATAATGTATGGTGTTTAGCTGCGGTAATGGACTCGAGGCGTGGTTGAGGTCATTATACCTACCGTCCTGCTGTGAATATGCGTATTCCCCAAGGTATCGCGCCGTATCTTTGGTTTCTTTCGATTATTTTTCAAATTTAAAAAACGTTTGATGTGTCTTTAATAGCAGACTACCCAAGAAAGTGGCCAAATCGAATTAACATTGTATTAAGTTTACTCCACTAAGTTCAGAATACAAATTTATTGAAGGGAAATAACTGCTGTTTTATACCTTATAAATGTATCGGACTACATTGACCTCTAATAGCTGACTTCAGTAACCAAGTTGCCAAAAATGTACTTGAAAAGCAGCCTAATCTCACATGAGATCTCGAATAATTAAATCAACTAAAAAATGCATGATATGAAACCATGTTAGAGCATATTAGAATATTTTCCATCTCAGATTGGAGCTAACTAATGGAATAAAATGTATTGGTACCTATTAACTATCCCCACAATACAGTTGCATCTATGAGTGGAACCATGCAGGCCAGGGGATCAAAGACGTGGGGGGTCTAAGTATTTCCAGGGGCACAAAAAATTTCTAAGCTACGGGCCTGACTGGAGTCTGAGGAAGGCAATCTTCTCCCTTTGTTATATGCTTCAACACTTTTAACAATTGTTCTAAAATAACACTACTTGTTGACAGAATAGTTTAATCAAACAAATGATGATGCCTTGAATTATGATGTTTGGATGTAGATGAGAGATCACTGGAAGAATCTGTTGAATCATTCAAACTTTTCACATCTCTTTCTTTTTTCTTAACCTTTAAAAATTTATTTCTGAAAAATTTTTGCTCGGCTGTAACAGAAGTCACTGATCCCTCCATTACAAAATGCTCGAAATGTTTTAAAAATCTTTCCAGTTTATCCAGACGACATTTTGAAATCTTACAAAACACACTTAGCAACCATTCATATGAAATATGTCGTTCAAATTTGCGCGTCTTAAAAAGTTTTTGAGTTCGATTTGGAACTTGGTCTCTAAATTCTGAATAAATGCCAGAATCTTCCTGAATTTTTTCTAAAATCTTTTTGAGTTCCTCACACTGATCAACGTCCAAATTTTGGGTGTTGAAGTGTTGTATATTACCTCCCTTCTCATGGTTCTGTGGATTGGATGAAGTAAGAACATCCTCATTGTCGGTGTTCTGAACTGAACCTGATGGACTGAACTGTGTAGATGGTGATAGCATTACATCATCTGAAAAAGAAAAAAAAGACATACCATGTTAATACCCAGTTAAAGAACTTCCAGAGCATGGATTCTGTCTGTCAGCTCTATTTAATTACTTCCAGAGCATCGATTCTGTCTGTCAGTTCTCTATTTAATTACTTCCAGAGCATGGATTCTGTCTGTCAGCTCTCTATTAATTACTTTCAGAGCATGGATTCTGTCTGTCATCTCTCTATTTCATTACTTCCAGAGCATGGATTCTGTTTGTCAGCTCTCTATTTCATTACTTCCAGAGCATGGATTCTGTCTGTCAGCTCTCTATTTAATTACTTTCAGAGCATGGATTCTGTCTGTCACCTCTCTATTTCATTACTTCCAGAGCATGGATTCTGTCAGCTCTCTATTTAATTACTTTCAGAGCATGGATTCTGTCTGTCACCTCTCTATTTCATTACTTCTAGAGCATGGATTCTGTCTGTCAGCTCTCCATTTAATTACTTCCAGAGCATGGATTCTGTCTGTCAGCTCTCTATTTCATTACTTCCAGAGCATGGATTCTGTCTGTCATCTCTCTATTTCATTACTATGTGCTATACAATTCCAACTAAATTCTTTAAGCCACTGGGACCTTCAAGAAATTTTAGAGGAAACACACTAATATTAGGTTTATAGGTGACTTCATACCTTGTTTACCATAATTAATGTTTGATGATTTGAGATAATGAATAGAACTAGATCTAAGACGAATAGCTATTAATTCATTTTGTTCCTCTGACTCATTTGACAACAAACTATTCAGTAAATCTACAGAAGTGTCATTTTCCTGTGAGCTTTCTTGTTCATTCTCAGTTTTCCGTGCCTTTTGGGCTAGTTCTGTTAATGTGTTGTTAATTTCATCAATTCCTTTACATCTGTTTTCTGAAAAATATGATTATTGTATTCAGATCATACCTTTGAGCATGGATTTATTCCAACTTACAAAACTCAGTTACACCTAGAAAGTTTAAATCTGATAATCTCCTGATTTTTTAATTTGCAATCAACCCATGTATCCAATTACATAATGATACTCCAGCTAAAGAACTAAATGATGCTAATACTTCTGATGCTAAAATAAACTATACATCTACAGAACTGTGTCTGTGTTTTCAGAACTAAAACAAAATAAGGCTGCATTTTTGATAAAGTGATTGATCTACTTACTCTGCCTAAAAACAATGTTATTTTTACCAGAATGTGAATGTTTATATAAATTTACAAATTCCTCAACATCTGTAATCCTTTCTAGATTTTCTCTGAAATATCAAGCAATTCAAATTGCATTCCAACTTCAATTAAAACATCACATTCAGCATATATCCATTTGAAGAACAATAAAATGCAGTTGATGTAATAAGCATTCAAAGTTTTCGATCAACTTGATCTAAATCTAGTTCGTTTAGCAATCAAATTAACACAATTCTATTATCCACATATAAATCATGTTTTCCCATATAAAACTATCTAGAGTGTTTGTGGATATAATATACAAATTTAAACAATAAATCAATAACTGGCTCTGTAACCTACCCTAAATCATTAGATGACAATATCTGTTGTTTTATTCTATATTTAGATGATATATGACTCTGCCATTCCTCCCAAACAAACCAGTTATCATCTAGAAAATACATCATATCTGTATTCTACTACTAATAAGTACTATGTTACTTGTTGAAGAGTTATCTCAATCATGCTACAAAGCTGTATAATACAGCTTACTAAAATCTTTTCATTATACTGATTTAACTTGATCACATTCAAATGATCAAAATAACATGGGTTATCTCTACAATGTCAACCTGTAGAATTTTTCGTATCATTTCAAAGTAATGTCAAATGTATTATCTATCTGGTGGATTTCAGTTATTGCCAAATCACAATTTTCATTTGCCAAATTTCCTCATAATCCCAAGCTGTAATCGGAATTCCAAGCGTCTTCTGCAAGAATATATTCCAGTGAACAAAGTCATGTGACAAACTAGCGGATTCCATGTTGGCAGAAAAATTTTCTTTTACATGAAAATAGGTAACCCATTTTGCAACCGTTGTTGAGATGGTTACTCTTGAAATATGGTCGAGGGATTAAAAAAAAAAAACTGTTTTTTAATTTTGACGAAATTCGGTATTGAATCCTTATATGCACGAATATAGGTTATACCACTGTAATATATTGGAAAAATATATTGGCTAAAAGTGAAAAAAACTTTACCTGGAAATAGTTTAGATAGTTGTCTAGCACATACAGTTAACGTACTGAAATAACAAACAAAACTTTACAGATTTCATATAAAAATACACATAAATACAGGAAATATTAACGGGTCTTCATGTAAAGTGACAAGTGTCTATTTTGTCTACAGGATTGAAATAAGTAAACAAATTTTGATTTTAACTTACATTGAAAATGGTGTTGCGTAATTTTAGTATCTGATTCTATCCGATCAGATGTCCACAGTTTTAAATCCAGATTATTTTGTTTAAAAACAATGTTGGACCTTAGTTTAGCACATATTTGTTAATTGTTTTAAGCGACAAATATATAAAACAAGTAAAATATTCCACCCACTGCTCTCTTGAGTCGTTGACACCAAAATATAATTTTAACACCATAATAATATAACAAGCTGATATCATTTCAATATCCTTGATATCATCACCAATAGTAACATCAGGTTCTACTTTCTTCATTAGATTAAATACCAAACAGTTCATTTCACCTTCAATAATTCAATAAGATGTTATATAGAGTTTATCATTGCTATCTTGCTTGATCAATCTTTTATTAATGTGAACCCAGTAATAAAAATATGCTTGTCTCCCCTATATCTCTGAAATTAAATAGCAATTTGTTATAAAAACAAAAAAAAATTCAATGATCACCTGGTAGATCCAACTTGAGGAGCAGATTATTTGTTATGATGTCTATTGGCAAGGGTGGTAACTCATATATTCCTAAAAATCTTACTAAACGTCCAGTTATACATCTCAAGCCTTCTGTTGTTGGCAAAGTCTGAAATGTAGAATTTGCTCTTTTGTTGTGGTTTTTAGGTTTTTTATGTTTCAGAGGATCACATTATTGCATTTTGTACATTTATAAACAGCTATTTAACATGCTACTGGGTCAAAATTAGTCTGAATACAATTTAAACAATTGCCTTCAGCAAAAACACAAAATGAGACACTGAGATCTGTATACTTATCAGATTGAAACTTAAAACAATATATATCCACTGTGGGTGTTACACTCACTTTGCTATTAAATAGATAAGCATCATGGGAAGAGATTTTCATATCTTGGTTCAGACAACTGATGGCTGATTTATAAGGAATTCTATCAGTTTCTATTAAACTATAAAACAAAACAAGATAGACATATGTAAAACACTTTCAAAAATAATTCAAATACATGCAAAAGAAGGCAAAAAAAAAAATCTTTCCTTGTATCCACAGCCACTCTAAAGTTTGCGTATTTCCTCTGTTAACAAATCCATAGAATATCCAAATGATATCTGAACGTGTATTCTGACTAACCTGATAACATTAGAAGGTGTATTCTGACTAACCTGATGAAATTAGAAAGTGTATTCTGACTAACCTGATGATATTAGAAGGTGTATTCTGACTAACCGGATGATATTAGAAGGTGTATTCTGACTAACCTGATGATATAAGAAGGTGTTTTCTGACTAACCTGATGATTTCTGAAGGTGTATTTTATTCTGACTAACCTGATGATATTAGAAGGTTTATTCTGACTAACCTGATGATATAAGAAGGTGTTTTCTGACTAACCTGATGATATTAGGTGTATTCTGACTAACATGATGAAATTAGAAGGTGTATACTGACTAACCTGATGATATTAGAAGGTATATTCTGACTAACCTGATGATATTAGAAGGATTATTCTGACTAACCTGATGATATTAGAGGGTATATTCTGACTAACCTGATGATATTAGAAGGTATATTCTGACTAACCTGATGATATAAAAAGGTGTTTTCTGACTAACCTGATGATATAAGAAGGTGTATTCTGACTAACCTGATGATATTAGAAGGTGTATTCTGACTAACCTGATGATATTAGAAGGTTGATTCTGACTAACCTGATGATATAAGAAGGTGTTTTCTGACTAACCTGATGATATTAGAAGATTTATTCTGATGATGTAAGAAGATGTTTTCTGACTAACCTGATGATTTCTGAAGGTGTAATATGATTACTAGTAAATAATAAACCAAGATATATAAATGATAATGTTTCAGCTAAATTCATCCACTCCACTTTATACTTTAAACGACTTCTTACAGGTAAAAATGTTGTTGGATCTGCCTAAAGAAAACCAAATATTGTTTTACATCATATAAGATATATGAATCTTTGTAATTAGGTGAAGGTGTCCTAGATTGAAGACTTTATACCTATATATCCTGTAATGCTGAGAATCGATACATCATGCCAAAGTACATGTATCAATACTTAATAATGCGAGACATACCATATTGACCCCATCCAAAAGCAGAAAAACGTTTTATCTTATAAATCAAAATACTGCAGTTACAGAGCTGTTATTAGACATGGCTGCAAAATACAAATCAGAAAGCCATTAATTACAAAAAAGTTTAACTTCTATCATGGTCTTATTAAAGTACATTCCTCTCACCCTTTTTTGCTGTCGTAAAATGAAATCCTCTTCAACTGGATGATCACCAAGGTAAAATTCTTCACTACCTAATTCTTGGGTAATTTCAAGGTCATCCTGAAAATTTATTAGATTTTATTCATTCACAGAAATTGAATTTTATATGAGAATCTGGATAATGAAAATATAGAAAACAGCACTTGCACCATAATGAGCAGAAATGACATACACAATATATTCATTAATTTAAAAGCACAATCCATTATCAGACAACAGTGAAATACTGATGTTATTATTGTCTTGGAATGAAGAAATAGGTATAAATAATATTTACTGACAATTGTACACTTGATTTTCTATAAAAATTCAAAAGCAGAATTAAAGGATGTATTGTGTTGGTGAAACTACAACTTTCCCTTCTATTATATTTGTAGACCATAAGATTTCTTTTTACCAGCTATAGATCAGAAATTAAATGTTTAAATAGCTGCCATATTATACATGTGGAAAGTGAGTAAGGAAACATTTCTATAACTTACTATTTGACGTTTTGATTCAGCTCTTGAATGATATTTTTTCTGAGGCTTATATACAACAGGTCTAGATATAGGCCCACATGAGGTTTCTCTACAATTAAAATGAAATAAATTTTCTTCAACTTTTTATTTACAGAATTTGAACCTTGCAGTGTGCATTGGCAGAAGTATAGATATCTACAGAATAGTAGCATTATTATTATCAGTTATGTTTTCCAATGCTTTAGAGATCCTTTAATTCCCTAATCTGCAGCAAACAGGCCATGTTTTTCCAAATGACCAGACACCAAGTTAGCTTGTCCTTCCTACTTCACTGACAGGTTCAAAGTTTGAACTTCAAATCCTGTTGAAAATTTAAAGGAATCATTTATGGTTTTGATCATAACTACTCGACAATAGGCTATATGCTGCCTGCCATCCTACATCTCTACTCAATACATGAACTTAAGCTTCATATATAAGAACTTATCCAGAACAGTATTTGGACTGGAAAATGGTCCATAATAATAAAATGACGAAGATCATACCGTGCTCTGGCTAGTAAATGAGTTGATGATGGAATCAACTTTTCTTTTTTACAGAATGCAATTTCTATTGAACTTAAATATGCTGCCCATAATCTAAATACTACTTCCTGAAAAAAGAATTAGACAATAAAATCAAAACCGTATTATTTTTGGTGTATTTTAATAATTTCACAGCGCCTTTGTTATGTCAAAGCTGTAACTCTTAATAAAGATCTTGACACAAGAATAAAGATTTCAAATCTAAAATATTTTTTGGATACACCTTATATTGGATTCTAATCTTTGTTTGTTTATATTGGTAAAATTATAAACATAAATCTTAAGGGGTTATAAAATTCCTAAAAAAGATAAGAGAAAATCTTACATCAAGTTTGGGATCAGCACCAAGTTCAATCAAGGCTTCAACTTGTTTCTTCATGACACACTGATAACCTTCTTGTATTGTCCATGGACGTCCAAAGTTTTTTTCCTCTATAAAACAATACCGTATGTCTATTAAAGCTTAGAGCATTTAAAACAAGTCTAATCCTCACCTCTATGCATTCATTTCCCTCTGTTCCCAATCTTAAGCCTAAATCAGTGCTGAAGAGTGAATCCTAAATAAGTGCCGAAGAGTGAAGCCTAAATCAGTGCCGAAGAGTGAAGCCTAAATCAGTGCCGAAGAGTGAAGCCTAAATCAGTGCCGAAGAGTGAAGCCTAAATCATTGCTGATCAGTGAAGCCTAAATCAGTGCTGATCAGTGAAGCCTAAATCATTGCTGATCAGTGAAGCCTAAATTAGTGCTGATCAGTGAAGCCTAAATCAGTGCTGATCAGTGAAGCCTAAATCATTGCTGATCAGTGAAGCCTAAATCAGTGCTGATCAGTGAAGCCTAAATCAGTGCTGATCAGTGAAGCCTAAATCAGTGCTGATCAGTGAAGCCTAAATCAGTGTTGATCAGTGAAGCCTAAATCATTGCTGAGAAGAAGACACTATTAGCTAAAGGTGTAAAAAAATAACCAACCTTGAGGTTCAACAGTTTGAGAGACAGGAGCTGGAGTCCTTGTTAAAATAAGATTGTGGACATCTTCAAATTCTGTTTCTTCTACTCGAATATCCTGCAAAACAAAAATAATGTTTTCATTAAGTCAATTTATCATCTCATTTGCTTTGGTAGTATCTTATTAGACTGCACAACTTACAGTTACTAATAAGAATTATTAACAGTGTTATCAATTGAGTTTGAAGTTTAAATTAGGAGGTAAGTGCCGTGGATATCTTGGCTATATATCACATGGATGAAACTTTACAGTGGTGTAACCTATTTTTGTGGATATAAGGATTCAACACCGAATTTCGTCAAAGATAAAAAAACGAAATTTTTTTTTATGTCTTAGATGTTTCCTCAGATATCCTACAAAATAATTAAAATTGGTTTATTTCGATTTTCTTTATGAATCCTGCACTTTGACCTATATTTCATGAGCAACCAACTCGGCAACGGCGGCAGAATGTGTTACCAATTTTCGTGTAAATTGTTTGATCTATAAATAAGTCAAGAAAAACACGTTGTATGGATACCGGGTGGTATAATTAATTTCTCTAAGTATTTATCTTTAATATCAATTCATTATAACTAGTGACAATTCCTTCAAAGAACCACGATAAAAAAAAAAATAGTGACTGACAAAATAAGATACGTAGCATGATTTATTGCTAAAAGTCACTGAAACAACATAAGAATATGGTCCACTTTGTGCTCCATAGAAATTTTCTGCTGACACAGAATCCGCTAGTTGATCATGTGACTTCATTCATTGGAATATATTCTAGCAGACGACACTTGGAATTCCGATTACCGCTTGGGATTATAAGGAAATTCGGCCGATAAAAAATGGTGACGTTTGGTGAAATCCGCCATTTTGTATTTGTCAATGTATACATTAATACATTTTACCTTGCTTAAAACTACTGGATTCATTCTACTAGCTGATATTGTAGAGAAAACCCATGTTTATCAAAACAAGCAAATGCGGAGGTCATGCGAGGTTGCACATGTAAATTATTAATCCTTTCCGGAAATCCACGAATAATAGGTTTCCACGAAATTAGGTTACTTGACTGTACTTGTTAAAAATCAAATCAATTTTACCTGTGACTGAACCTGACAGACTTGACAATAAAAATTGCCACAATCTTCAAAAAAATCATCTCCTCCACATTGAGTACATGTAGGCATGTTGATTATTATTTATATTACTGTGCTTCGTCCAAAACCATTTTTCTTTGGTTCTAAAATAAAGTTTTAGGAAAAAACAGAGGTAAGCTTAAACCATAGGCCTACATCACAGGCATCTGTTTCTGTCAATAGTTGACTTTCTCTATAATAGTATTAGAGAGATAGTCGACTATTGATAGAAAAAGATGCCTGTAGCCTACATGTTCAACTATGCCATAGCTACACAACATGTAAAACTACTTAATCATGTAAAATACATTGTTGATTTACTTATGTCATGAATGTTACATTTTGTATAATAGCTTAATACCACTTTAATCTGTTGCTTATTCAAAATGGATAATGATAGTTTTATATAATCGAATAGGCCTATACAATTTTTGATACTGGTATTTAATTTTTCATTTCTATTAGTAGAGAAACGAGTCTCATGCCCTTTTGTTTACATTTTCACAGGAAGTAGGAAATGGTAGATAACTCTAAATTATCTTCCGGCTTTAAAGGTTTGTTTACAAACTTAAAAAGCCTATTCAAAAGAAAATGCTTGTCAATAGAAATTGATAAACTATCATTGAAAATCAACCTTGTCAGAAGATGGTGTTTATCTTGGATTCCACCAAATGTCTTAGATTACTCAGAGAAGCCTACACAATAAGCTTACACGACACTATCAATTGCCCATACGTCACCCTCAGCTTGAAATCGTTGTTAATGTTGATAACTCATTTAGAACAGTAGAAGTATAACTCATTGAAAAATATGGATAGCTATTGCATAATATATTATTCCAGAAAAAGCTGCTAACAAATCAAACCAAACCAAACCATTTCACTACGAGCCATGTCAGATGGCAAATGAATAAAATATTTTGTACATAAAAGGACAAGAAGATGAAAACTGAATTGAAAGAGAAGAAAGACATCAGTTATTCAATCTTTCATGAACCCAAATAATAATAATATTAATAATAATGGGAACTGTAGGTTCTTTCTTACGATCAAATGACGATGTCCAACACATTCCCATTGAGATGAAACCCAGAGGAAAGTTGGGTCTTGGTAGAGTTGGCTCCATAGTTGGTCGGAAACCAAAAGGAGGAAGTCTACGTTCTGCATTGTCAATAGAATTAGAGAATGCTGAGACAGAACGTATCAAAAGGGAATTTGAAATGTATCGTTTGGATAAAGAAAATGACATTGCTAATTGGTTAAAAAAAGAAAAGAAATTAGAACAGGAGAATAAAAGAATGAGATCAGAGTTATTGGCATTACAGAAAATGTGTACCAAGTTACGCAATGAAAGAGATGCTGCATTTCAAGCTGAACAGAGGGCTCTAGCAAGGGCTGCTTCATTTGAATGTGATAGAGATAAAGTACAGAGAAGATTCAAGGTAGGAATATGAGCAATTTTTATACACCTACTCATGGCATGGTAAAACTCTAAGTGTTCTCATTAAGAAATAGTTACCATAGTGCATTTAAAATGAAACTGAATATTATGAAAAATGCTGTAGCTCCTTAATAGTATAACATTATGAATTTTTTCTAATGAAAAACAATGTTACAATTTCTAACAGCTGACTAAGACATATTATTAATTTATTATGTAAAATGACAGAGGTTCAACCAGATTAGTGGGGGACCATGGACTAAGTGGGTCTTGGTCCCTTCCCCTGGAAATTTTATGCTCTCTTTTTTATACGCCCACATGGAAATGTGGACGTATATTGCTGTCGCCCCTGTCCGTCGGTCCGTCTGTTCACATTTCTTGTAGGCGCGATAGAGGCTACAGTTTTTATCCGATCTTAATGAAACTTGGTATCCATGTATATAATGATGAGATCTTGGTCAATTTCGAAATTGGTAATAATTAGATAAACGGTTTCAGAGTTATTGCCCTTGACTTAATAAAAACGCGTCAAATTTGCCTTGTAGGCACGATAGAGACTACAATTTTTATCCGATCTTGATGAAACTTGGTATGCATCTATATATTGATGAGATCTCAGTCAAGTTCGAAATTGGTAATAATCGGATGAAAGGTTTCAGAGTAATTGCCCTTGACTTAGTAAGAACGCGTCAAATTTTGATTGTAGACACGATAGAAACTACAGTTTTTATCCAACCTAGATGAAACTAGGTATGCATGTATATATTGATAAGATCTCACTCGAGTTTGTAATTGGTAACAATCGTATGAAGGATTTTTGCCCTTTACTTAGTAAAAACCTGTTAAATTCGGCTTGCAGGCACGATAGAGACTACAGTTTTTATCCAATCTTGATGAAACTAGATATGCATGATGAGATCTCGGTCAAGTTAAAAATTGGTAATAATCGAATCAACAGTTTCCGAGTTATTGCTCTTGTGTTTACAGCGATGAGACATTGTTCATGTTTGAATTTCATGATAACTTGATGAACTGTTTCAGGTTTTTGCCTTGACTTATGGATGATTTTAAGATTATATGAAAATTTATTATTAAGCCACTAAAGATTTTGTTATCATTCTGACAGCTGGTAGTGGGCGTATGTTACCTTGCCTGGCAAGCTATCTTTTTTTTCTCGTGGGACGAAGGCCCCCTTAGAGGCTTGAGCCCTTGGATTTAATTCTTATGGATCCTTATGGTAGTTAGCCAGTAACAGTAGTGAAAAAAGTGTAAAGAAAAGGAAAAAAATCCACAATTTTCTTCAGATATATCGTGAAACTGCTGAATTTGAATTGCAAAATGTTTTGAGAGACAGACGTAATCTGGAAAATAAAGTTACGAAATATGCCGCAGGTTTGATGATTGAAGATGGTGATTCTACATCAAGATTTCTACCCGATGGGGGTACTCTAGGTGAGAAAAGTACAGCATCAAAATATGTTTGTTGTAGCAGAGAGTCTTACTTAGTCTATCTATACTCTCTGGTCTTAATATGTGTGTTGACCTTGGAAGTGTGATCTCTTTTATTTCATTTCATGTTTTTATCCCTAAATAATGGAATATTTAGTGTGAAATACCATTGATAGGAAAGAAATTCTTTAAAACAGAATCTATCGTTTGAAAGTTGCATGTTTAAGTTTGATGAATTCACCTGTTTTGTTTGTAGGTACTAATAATCAGGGAGATTGGTGGAGTGAACCATCTCTGGGCAGTTCAATACAGCTCCATCAACCAACCTATCTTCGTGGTCCAGAGTTTGCTCTTACCATAATGGAATTAGAAGGACCTTTTACTAATGTCAACAAAGGTAGGTATATCATTTTGTTATTTCAGTGACAGTATATAATGTAATTTAACTGTACAAGAGGAATTAAATTGAATATTTTTAGCTTAAAAGTCAGCATTAATAATCTTTTCTAACTTCATTTGACAACTACGTTTGTATGCAAGTAGTAAGTGTTTAAGAGGCATTTCACAGATCTAAACGTTACTTAAAACTTATAATTACAGAGGATTGGAGTTGTGCTTTGGCAAATCTAAATCAGAATAAAGATAAACAGCTGAATATTAATGTAAATAGATTGATGCGAATCTACCTCTCAGCTCCCCGTAATATGTCTCATGAAGTTCATATCTTTGTAAAGGTAACATTTTTATTTCATCTCCATATAATTCTCTTGTGATGGATGAAAAAAGTAGATATTCTTAATTGTTGGTACATGTACATGTAAGAATATGTAAAAAAAAATTGTATATAAAAGGAGTAATTATTTGTATATTAAAGGAGTAATTATTTGTATATGAAAGGAGTAATTATTTGTATATGAAAGGAGTATTAATTGTATATTAAAGGAGTAATTATTTGTATATTAAAGGAGTAATTATTTTTATATTTAAGGACTAATTATTTGTGTATGAAAGGAGTAATTATTTGTATATTAAAGGAGTAATTATTTGTATATGAAAGGAGTATTAATTGTATATTAAAGGAGTAATTATTTGTATATTAAAGGAGTAATTATTTTTATATTAAAGGATTAATTATTTGTGTATGAAAGGAGTATTTATTTGTATATTAAAGGAGTAATTATTTGTAATGAAAAGAGTAATTATTTGTATATGAGAGGAGTAATTATTTGTATATTAAAGGAGTAATTGCTTGTAATGAAAGGAGTAATTATTTGTATATTAAAGGAGTAATTATTTGTATATGAGAGGAAAAATTGTTTGTATATTAAAGGAGTAATTATTTGTATATTAAAGGACTAATTATTTGTGTATGAAAGGAGTATTTATTTGTATATGAAAGGAGTAATTGTTTGTAATGAAAAGAGTAATTATTTGTATATGAGAAGAGTAATTATTTGTATATTAAAGGAGTAATTGCTTGTAATGAAAGGAGTAACTATTTGTATATGAGAGGAAAATTGTTTGTATATTAAAGGAGTAATTATTTGTATATTAAAGGACTAATTATTTGTATATTAAAGGAGTAATTATTTGTATATTAAAGGAGTAATTATTTGTATATTAAAGGAGTAATTGCTTGTAATGAAAGGGGTAATTATTTGTATATTAAAGGAGTAATTATTTGTATATTAAAGTAGTAATTGCTTGTAATGAAAGGAGTAATTATTTGTATATTAAAGGAGTAATTATTTGTATATGAGAGGAATAATTATTTGTATATTAAAGGAGTATTTTTTTATATATTAAAGGAGTAATTATTTGTATATTAAAGGAGTATGTACCAGTATTAAAGTCTTTATGTGAAAAGGAAGGAAGAAGTTTACTATTAATACATGTATTACACAACACAGATAATTTACAATCCAAGCCAGTAAGTATGTCTGTTATATTTTTTAATGGAAAAAAGACCCAATAAAAGATCTGATAAAAAAACTGATGTTGATCAGTCAACTTGGCTGATGTTTCAACTTGTAGATGTATATTGCTGTTGCCCCTGTCCATCCATTCACATTTCTTGTAGGCACCATAGAGGCTACAGATTTTATCCTATCTTGATGAAACTTGGTAGGCAACTAAGATAAGATCTCGGTCAAGTTCGAATTTGGTAACAATCCGTTGAATGTTATTGCCCTTGACTTTAGCTTGTAGGCACATTATAGGTTACAGTTTTCAATCATCTACATAAAATGTGGTCGTATATTGCCATCGACCCTGTCCGTCAGTCATCATTTTCTTGTGGGCACAATTGAGACTACAGTTTTCATCTGATGTTGATGAAACTTGGTGTAAGCATCGGAATTGATAAGATCTCAGTCGAGTTCGAATTTGATAATGCACAACCTCGCAATACGATACGTGTATCATTGATGTTGTATCCACTGATATTTTGTGCCAGCACTAAATCAAATATTGCGTAAGATTTGAACAACATATAATGTGGCATATAGATGTACATAGATTTCTTTTGAAAAGGAGGTTATTGCAGGGCGTTACGAACGCCCTGCTTTGTTTTCGAATTGATTTTTTTTTTTTTTTTTTTTTTTTCGTCTACGGCAGGCCGGTTTTCTCGGCAACGGCAATAGGTACGGGAAAACGGACTTCATGGCGTTTTGTAACTCGTGGCTAATCACAGTTTAAATGTAAAACGAAAATTTTCTGAGTAACATTACGCAATGTTGCAACAAACGGAAAATGGACTCCAGAGGGCGTGTTTATAAACCGATTTTGATCGGGTTTTCTGCATCGTATTTCTTGTAACAAAGGACAAATGATAGCAGTTGAAAATTTTCGATTTTCGAAAATTCGTACAATACTTTTTTTTGCCGTAATTAATCTGAAAATACTATTTCGGTTGTAGTTTGGTGGATTGACTCGAAACTCACTTAGTGTAGACTGCCAGCATAGTGGAATAAAAGCACACATTCAAAAAATTTTTGTCACTTCCGGTTTCAATGTTAGTACTTCCGGTGGTTTCCCTTCCGGTGAAATTAAGTTATGTCCAAAATAAAATATGTATTATATTACCAGCCTTAATACAAACTTATTTAACAAAAAAAAATCGCACCGGAAGTAACATGTAGGCCGCCATTTTGGTTTGCCTCATTTTCCAGAAATTGCTATTCAGAGGCCATTTATCATCCAATTTGCATAACTTTTGTGTCATACGATACGTTTAATGTCTGTCTACAAAAAATGGGAAGCATAATTTTGATTTTCGGTTTTGCCTTTTTTGTACGACCTGATGTTTTTTTTCAAAGTTTGAAGGCTTTTAACTCATGACCTTGACCTTTGATGACCTTTATATTGACTATGGTGATAAGGGCTGTCCTTGACCTTCTCATGACCTTTTGACCTTTTTGGTCAAACAACAACTTCTGATTTTATAGGGATCTAAATATGGTCAAAATGGCATTTTTGAAGTGTTGTATCCCAAACCCTAATTGATTTAGCGCCATACCATTTTCAGATTATTAATGCACTTAATAAATGAATTCAATTCATGTGGCATTTGATGATGTCAGAGTCACATTAAAGGAAATGTTGCAATTTCCTTAAATCTTTAAATGCGTCTATCAAAGGAACTTGGCCTCGGATGACGTTGATATTTACATTAATGTTTATTATTGACTTCAGCTTTTACATGATGCTAATATTTTTTGTGTCTGACACGTTGTTTCGGTGTTATGGGTGTCACTGAAAGTTGATTCTGCATCTTTAAAGCGTCCTCACATGTGCCCTAATAGAGGTAGAGAAATAATTCTGTGGGATTCAAAATGCTGAGATCCAGCGCTTTCCAATGATATATAACATACATGCCTTACATGCAAATTCGAAACCCCATTCACTTAACATGGGGTTATTATTAGATAAATCGGCTAATTAGATTAACCTGGCTGTCAACCCCAATAGAAATCAAAGTTTAAGTTGTTTTAAAGACACCCTCCTTTTTATATTTCTTTAAAATTTTTTGAGTCCCGTTGCGGTATATAAATAATCTCTAGGGTGGATTGAACCGTGTTATACTGTAAGTTAAGCTTACGGAAGCAAATTAAAGGGATTCCTCCACTTAATTTACCAACTTTCTTATTTCTTATCGGATTTTCATCAAACTTGGAATGTATGTGTATAATCCAATTCTAAATTTGATGGAATTATCGAATTTGCGTAGTGCGCATGCGCATTGCCAACTTTCTTATTTACTATCCGATTTTCATCAAACTTAGTATGTATGTGTATAATCCAATTCTATATTTGATGGAATTATCGAATTTGAGTAGTGCGCATGCGCATTACCAACTTTCTTATTTCTTATCTGATTTTCACCAAACTTGGTATGTATGTGTATAAACAAATTCTGAATTTGATGGAATTATCGAATTTGCGAAGTGCGAATGCGCATTGCCAACTTTCTTATTTATTATCCGATTTTCATCAAATTTGGTATGTATGTGTATAATCAAATTCTAAATTTGATGGAATTATCGAATTTGCGTGGTGCGCATGCGCATTGCCAACTTTCTTATTTATTATCTGATTTTCATCAAACTTGGTATGTATTTGTATCATCAAATTCTAAATTTGATGGAATTATCGAATTTGAGTAGTGTGCATGCGCATTGCAAACTTTCTTATTTCTTTTCTGATTTTCATAAAACTTGGTATGTATGTGAATAATCCAATTCTAAATTTGATGGAAATATTGAATTTTTGTTGTGCGCATGCGCATTACCGACTTTCTTATTTTTATCCCCATTTCACCAAACTTGGTATGTATGTGAATAATTCAATTCTAACTTTGATGGAAATATTGAATTTTTGTTGAGCGCATGCACATTACCAACTTTCTTATTTCTTATCCGGATTTCATCAAACTTATTCTTTATTAATTGACAAATATTCTTTTATTCCTAGTTAATACACTTTAAACTCCAGGCACTTTTGGATATTTGCATTTAGAGATGCAAAAAGGTATTTACATAATGTAATTGCAATAGACCATCTTCGTATGTACCTGAATGTCATAACATAGCATCAGTACTGTTATTGGAACAGTTCTAGTTATATTTTTTTTTTTGACAGTATCTAGAAAGACATCAGAATAGCCGACAAAAACAAATAGAAACTTCATCTGTATTGGTAGCATTTCTAGGGCAATCTTTAGATGGGTAGGTATAAGCTTTTAATTTAAACCAAAAAAAGTAGTGTATACAATAGCTTCAAGAAGTAAAACTTCTTCAATGGTGAAGATCGGAAGGGCTAACATAAAAACAGGTTCAAATCTGACTTTGAAAAAAAAAAAAAGTAGACTAGTGTTGAAATTTTTGGTCACTTTAAATATTTCTTTCATGAGATGCATAAAAGAAGGGTATCTGTTTAATCTCCATGTACTGTGTCCAGTCAGCTAAATGTAAATAATTTTTACAACCAATTCTTTTTTTTTTAAAAGAGAATCTTGTATAGATGTAAAAGCATTGATGAAAGATACCACAATTACAAAACCTACAGTTTTATTATGTAAGAACCAGGAAGACAAATGGTATGTATACCTTGATGATCTTGGCATTAAAATTGTCAAAACATTTTTAAGCACTTTGTTAAGACTTTGATCATAGGTTAACCTTTAAAAGATAACTTAGACATTATTGAAGGATAAGAATCCTAAGCAGTAGAACTCTTTTTTGATCAGATTACTCCCAACTTGTCACAAAGTCTTAGTAAATGTATGCTGTAGTCTTTTAAGAATTTGTATGTTTTGCTAGTGTTTATGAGAATGAAATTGGTGTGAAATTAAAAGAATTTAACAATGTAACAGTCATCCCAGAATACCATTCACCACAACAAGCTGCTGAACTTTTATACAATACACTGGATAAAATTCTTAAAAATGTATGTATTATATTCTTTTTATTCTTTTATCTTTTTATGTTGAACCGCATTGAACTACAAAACACAATGACAGAATTTCATTTTCATTGAAATAAATGCTGTATCAAGGGAAATCTGGAGTTGATTTGTGGCTGGGAATATTTGCTTGGAGGGCATGGGGTGTTGAAGGCATCTCCTATGCCAATGTAAATAATATAGAAAATAAGAGGCTCATGACATTGACTATTTTCATTGTAATGCTTCAGAAAAGAGAGGAGATGTAAAACTCTATTTTATAACTGCAGGATTTAGGTATAGATAAAGTCAAACCGGATCCAGAACAGACAGATATAAACTATATGTGTGGTGGAATATTATGGGATATAAATTATGATAATGAGCAGGCTGAAGCTTTAGCTTACGCCTCAGATTCTACTTGTCAATTAGGCTTTGATAAGGTGAGTTGATTTAGAAATATAGTCAGCACAAGCTCCATAACATATTTATTATTTAAAGTACCTTCATACATATAAGTACAATAATCTGTCAGTAAACTAGTAAGGGATTTTTATTGGAATACCAAAAACATGCTGTTACATTCAGCAATTTTTTTTGGGTTAATTTGTAATATGTTTCACATTTCTGAATTGCTAAAGTTATCAATTATTTAAAGAGATAAGACTGTCGAGTTTCATAATGATTCTGTAATGAAAATAAAAACCTCTTAGTTTTAAAAGAAAATAATGTACATTAATTTATTATATTAAATTAAATTAATATATTTTAATTCTGTTATAGTATTATGAGAAATTGAACAATCACGTGTCTGCTGCCGGTCCCTATCCACCATTACTGATCATGGGAACATCAGGCAGTGGAAGATCATTACTTCTTTCTAAATGGTAATTATTTATAACATTAGTCTAGAGTGTTTGGTGTGATAATAACTATGAAGTAGAAATAGTTACTCACAGTATCAAATATTAGCTCAAGTCTGTGTCATATGTGTTTTATTCAGATATGTTTTTATGTTATACATATATCATCAAAAACATACTTTATTATGTTCTTTTTTTTTTAGGGTAGAACAACAAAAAGAGAAAAATCCAAATTGTTTAGTTTTGTATCATTTTGTAGATAAAGAGTCATCTGTCAGTGCTGATCCTATTTTAATGATAAGACGACTCTCATCACAGGTCTGTTTTAATTTATATCTCAAGATTTTTACACATTCAAAGATTTTTTTATGTTCTTAAACCCATCCTGAAACACAAATAACATCTGTTTACTTGTGTCAAATCACAGGTTCTATTCCATGTCTTGAATCACAGATTAGTTATGTTATTTGTCCTGAATTGAAATTAGTTATTTTTTATAAATATAATAAATATATTTATATTTCTGTGTGTTACCTTGTAGTTAATGCAGCAGATCAACAATCCACCAGTGTTATCAAATGACTCGACTCGACTTGTTGAAGACTTCCCACGATGGCTGGAAAAAATCTCCTCAAAATCTCCAGGAGGAACAATTCTAGTCCTTGACTCCATTGACAGATTTCAGGTACATTTTTATTATTATTAAAAATTTTTTCAAAAATTCTTACTTTTTTTACTTTTGGCAACATCTTTATATTCTGCATAGGCTATTATAATATTATCATATTTTTTATCACTGTTTTCTTTGATTTAAGCAAAGGCTCAGTGTGTTAGTTGTATGCTTGCTAGCCAGAAGGACCCAGGTTCAATCCTGGTATAGGTCGAGATAATATCTTCCAATTTTTCAACCCGGTTTGCCCTTGTCAGTTATGCTGGTAAGAAGGTCTGAAATGAAAAAGAGTCCGGTCGTTTGGATGGGACAATAAATCATGGTCTAGTGTGCAGGTTAAAGACCCCTTGACAGATGGAAATTGAAAACGAGAAGGCTAATGCTGCTGTCCTGGCAAACTTTCCCTGATTGCACCCTGCCTGTCTTCATTAGCCCACATGGTGCAGAAAAGTTGGACATAAAAGTCCATCCATTTCATTTCTGATTTTAGCAAGCTGAGTTACATTTGAAATGGTTATTAGATCCTCTACCTGTAGATACTAGAGTTATTGTTTCGGTACATGAACATACATGTCCACAAGTATGGAGGTTGGTAGATCCTTGGTTTGAAATGTGATATTCAGGTGTACTCAGTATGCATGGCTTGAAGGAAAATGGCTTAATGAATTAATTTTATTTTGAAGGCAAACTAACAAAAACCTTAAAATTACTAAAAAAGCTCAAATGTGGGATAGAAAAAAGTATGAGTTTCACAACCATGGAAACTGTTAATGGAAGTTTGAGAATAGATTCAGAAAGTTATTTTATATCTTGTAGATCTTGGCCAACACTACAGCTTGAATTACTGGATACAAAAAGTGTACAAGAAGTGTTATGGTCAGAGTTATCTGCTCATGAAATAATATTAACCAATGTGAATGAGAGTAAGATATTGTCTCGTTGTCAGAATCTAGGATCATGTACTCCACTATACATTATATTGATAGCTGCTTATATAATCAGGTAAAATATTTATATATTGTAATATTGTTTCCCGTATTCAGTGATGCAGTTTGTAGGGGATGACATTGAAACTGAAAAAGCACCCAGAGGTTTGAATGAGATGCTAAACGAAGGCATTATGCTGCACTCTATGCATGTTCTGTAAAACTATTATTTTATTGACGTATTTCAGTTGTAATGGTGAAGAAAATAATAGCCTTTCATCAGATTTAAATATTTTACTGTCATCTCTAACTTGTGAACAGTTATATATCAGTATGATTGGTTTGTTAGAGAGAGATTTTGAAACTCCAGAACATGAAGGCATGATTAAATTGGTAGGCAATTTAGGGGAAGGGCGTTATTTCGATATTAAAACCTGTACGAAAAATGTTAACGTAAAATTGTAGCCAGTAGATCGTCATAAATATCGTTCATGTAAAACATCGCTATGTTGTTAGTTAGATTTGTCTCCCTTTAAAATTTACCTTGTTCTCGCATGTACACATGAATAAGTCATCATACTGAATGTATTTTACTTAATTTCTAACATATCATGAGTCCATGAGATCTTTTATTTTTTATTTTCGATAAAAAAAAATTCTGGCAAATCTCCACAATTCTACCAATCGGCATAATGCCTAACTGTTAACTCACAAGATGATCCAAATACATTAAAGTATTGTTTACAAATAGACAATACGAGAGCAGTGCGTTTGATTCATTGTTCAAGACAAGTATTATTTCAATGACAGATAAGGTAATGTAATTCAAATATTCCCCAAAATGCGTAAGACTATCAAACAAGTTGATTTCTATTTCAAGATTGCAACTATCAACAAAATTTCAACAATGATTTGAAATTTTGAGTGCAAAGATATGGATATTGTTATATTAAAAATTCATATCATATTTATTTATTAAGTTTTGTATGTAGTGAAAATGAGTCAATGGGTAAGGATTGTACTGGTAATTTTGAATGACTAGCATCTATCAAGAGAGGATGTTGATAAAATGTAACAATATTGAATATCATTATTTTTGATCACTTATCCAACTATTACTGTTATTTCTAGTTTAGGAAAAATTTTGGTAAATTAAATAACATGAGATTACAGGACAGTAACAATGGCATAAATAAACATTATGATAAGCTAAAATTATAAGCTTGACAAGAGAGATAGTTAACAGTAAGATATTTATTTTGATAGATTTTAAAGTATATGTGTGTAAGTAGAAATGGAATAGAAGAAAATGAATTATTTGGTTTGATACCAGACTTAACGTGGATGTTTTTAATACCAGTTTTAGATGTACTGGCCACAACTCATATTATTAAATATCATTCAGGTGTTTTAACATTTGCTCATCATGCGGTAAGTTTATATTACATTATTCATTATTATTACCACCCCTTTTATTTGTTCAAATTTTCTTATTCTATTTGGTGTAGACCTAGAAGTCTGCTCTTTGTGATGGATGTCAAATGTCAACATTAAAGGGATTGTAAAGAGGTTATCTAACTTTTTTATGTGTATAGGGGACACTCATATTATTAATTTGCACCATTCCAATTTTCTGTCAGCTGTCTGTGGTTCCTGCAAACTAAGTGTGTCTGATTAAAAATTGAAATGTTGCAAATTGATGATATCAGTGTCCCGTATACCAAACTTTAGAGACCCTGTTTACAATCCCTTAAATGCTATGGAGTGGTTTGAAGTTTTTAAATGTTCATTTCAGCTTTTTAAAAGTGAAAAAATTACAAATGGATCTATAATAATCATGTGATTCTGCCATGTTCAAGATTCTCATTGATCAAGAGAGCGTACTATCTACTAATAAATACTATGTTATCTACAGGCTATGAAAGGAGTAAATGAATTATGTTTTGGTAGTTCAGGAAGTGAACAGATATTAGATATACAACAGGAACTGATAGATTATCATACACAATACTTATTGTAAGTTCAGTGTTTTATATATTCAAATAAGTTAAAAATCTGATTCTTGACTATTTTTAGCATTTAAAGGGGTATTCCGCTTTTTTGTAAAAAGTTTTCAATATCAAAACTGGCGTAAATTATAGCTGAAAATATCTCTAAAGTATCTACTTGATCAAACGGAATTTGTTTTAAAAGGGTTTATTAGAAATGAAGAGTACTAATTAAGGAGTCTGACCCAGTTTTGATGTTTGGCTTTATAATGGCTCGATATTATTAGTGGAAACCCTTAGAATACATATTTCTCTACATTAGAAGTATATTTTACTAAAATATGTACAGCAGTTTTCTAACAACTTCTAAAAAACATAGCGAGGTTAAAAACCTTACGTAATGGTTTTGAATATTTTTGGTGTTAAAAATTAACGGCTGGATTCTTTTAAAACTTTCTGATACACAAAAGGGCAATTTCTCTAGATTTTGGTATATGGTTTTCACAATTTCAGCAAATTTGACCTATAAAAAAGCAGAATGTCCCTTTAAGAACCTTTTACATGATCGTTTAATATCTCAGAGAGCTTAATTGTAAATCTTTGAAATGTTTTAGAGATCTGAGATTCATGGACAGTCATGTGATTGATGTGAATAGGCAAAAAAAATGTGAGGAAAAATTTTGAGGCCCAGTCAAAAATTGTTGATAAATGGAATTGCTTTTATACTTATTATTTTCAGACCTGGATCTGTGACATGCCGTATAGTGGATGAGTTACCATGGTTACTAAGACAAGCAGGAGATAGAAATAAGTTGCAGGAATGTCTATTGAACCTATGTATATTTCAACGTCTATATACTAGGTAATAATTGAACAATTTAATCTTTTTTTAATTTTTTTTTCAAACTGGTTTTTATTGAGAAAATTTTTCTAATGCATCTGATACATAGCCTACGAACATTTCCCTCTAATTATTACTTTTGATAGATGCTGGCTATAGTCAAGAAAGCTAAATCTAGTTTTTGTGAGAATATGTTGCCGTGCTCTTGAGATTATTTCAGCTATTTTTTAATACATGTTCGAAAGATGTACTGGCCTCATTCTGACCTCTGCCAATTCATTCCTAGGTGATCACTGTGGGAGACAAGAGTTAATTTTTAATATCTGACATTACTCTGATAAGTTTCTGACACAATCTATATTTTCTAGAGGCAGAGCTTCTGAGTTATTGACCTACTGGCAGTATTTAGACATAGATAAGAACAAAATGGCTACCTCATATTTTACTTCTGCTAAACAAACTGAAGAAGGTATATTTTTTCATTGTTTTTTTTGATAAGAACAAAATTTAAAAGCATTGAAGATGAGATCACCTTTCTCTTCATTCTCAACTATAAATGTTGTTTGTCCTAATTTTTCTGAAAGTATGTTTTCTATGACATGTCTAATGAGCATCTTTAGCATATATGAACAGTCAGTTACATTTAGAATCTGGAATTATCCAGGCACTTTCTCTTAACTGTTGATGTTTGTTTAAACTGTTTACAATTGTATTTAAAGTTTTATGTAAAGAGAAAGGTCTATCTACTCTACCTCTGATAGCAGATTTATATGAAACATTGGGACGGTTTCTAAATGATTTGGTTCTCCTAAATCAGGTAATATAAACCTTTACTATGGCTATGTCTTTTCAAACATTCAAAATAGTTTTTTTTTTTCTTTTACTTCAACCACTTTATATTTGTTCATTGAAACTTAGTTGCTGATAATGATATTCAAATGAAGCCTTTTTGTGTTGTGAAATCTTCTCTAAAAACCACCCAAAATCCCTCAAAATGTTTTTGTTTTTTGATAATATAACAGGCACTTCCACCATTACAACGGGCTCTGGAGATCCGGGAGACAGCATTAGATCCTGATCACCCAATGGTAGGACGTGCCTTACACCAATTAGCCAGATTACATGCTCAATGGGGCAAATATTCCATAGCAGAAGCCTTATTTAAACAAGCGTTAGAAATCTATGAAAATGCATATGGTTTTGAGCATGAAATGGTTGCTAAGGAAGTGGAATCACTAGCCAACTTGTATCAAAAACAAAACAAGTAAGACTTTGATTTCTTTCGGGATGTAAAGGTTGTTGTAATCCTAATAGTGTGTAGTTTTAGGAAAATTGAACATTGAAATTGGTCATACACTTTGGGCCATATTATGATTTATTCACAAGTAGGACAACTAACATACAATTTCATAAGAAGATTCATAATAGTAAATGTACATTTTAGTTTTATTCACTTTTTGTTCACAGACATGACGTAGCAGAACCACTTAGAAAAAGAGCCCTGTCCATCAAACGTAGAATAAAGTCAATTCAAAATGTAAGTGTGTGATTTATATGATGAATTCAAGCTGTGGTTATAAAGCTAGTTTATTAGATATAGGGATACTTAGTGAGTGCTTTAAGAATGAATGTGTAAAGACTAAATGTTCCTTCATGTGAGAACTGGCACTGACTATTTTTGTTCATTGTTTTGTAACTTGTTGAAATATTTACAGAATCAAGGCAATGCCAGTGAGAAGTTACAGAGAAGAACTCTACATCTAGAAGAGTTGGCATTAGGTCCTGAGTCACCTGATCTTGCTAGAACTTTAAATGAACTTGGTGTATTGTATTATCTACAAAATGATTGGGAGTATGTACATTATAATTGTATTATGTGTTATGTTTTACTGCTTTTGAAGTTCTTTTCAACATATTGACTTGATTTGTTAGACGTTGACGTGACTGGTTTAAAGTTTTGATCTTCTGTGTGCAAAATAGTCACGCTAGCAATTAGAAGCTTGTTTTGGGATATGTAGAGTTTGTGTTGCTGCCTTTCAAACCAGATGTCTGCTCACGGTATCATCTTATTTTGGGTAGAATAATTATGTATCAAACTCATCTTTGTTACAATATCTGGGTGGGAGTTTATCAAAAAGATTTTTATGATACACTGTAATGCATTAGTAACTAATGATTAGTTAATGATCTTGTATATCATATAGATATATTGTACTTTTCAGGACATCTGAATCATTTTTTAAGAGATCCTTAGAGATGAGAGAAAACTTATTAGGTAAAGATCATTTGGATCTGGCACAATCTTTGAATAATCTGGCAGCATTGTTTAATGATAAGAAAATGTATGATAAAGCTGAACCATTGTATGAAAGAGCTTTACAGATCAGATTAAAGGTAGTCCTTAAAATAATTATATCAATATGAGATACAATTTTTGCATTGAGTTCAAATCACTTACTCATTTACACCTATCTTACATGATTACTGGTGATTACATGATTATAAAATATTGGAGTATTTTAATTAGCCATGTTTGACCAATAAGAGTGTAATTGATGCTTTATTGATACCAGTATTTTAGAGTGGGAAATTGTTAAGTAGATATATTTATTGGGTTTATTTCAGCATCTTAGTCCAGATTCAGCTAGTGTATCTAATATAATACGACATCTATCTATGGTTTATAGAAAACAGGTCAAAATATATTATTTTCTTCTTTAAGCTATTTTCAATGGGAGATGGAAATTATATTGTTTTATTCTCTTCAGACAGCAAATTAAAGATGAAAAAAACTTATTATCCAACAGCAAAAACTTTTAACTCACAACCATTGGTTTCTAGCAACATTAGGGTAGAGAAAATCTTGATATCCTGACTGAGATCTGTATCTGATGTTCTTAACTCAGAAAAATAATAAAACAGTGCAATTATAACAACTGATTAGTATAGTTAGTAATGATGATTATAATTATATGAAAGTTATTTGTATGACAATAAACACCTGTTGAATGTTTTGAGAATTCTGTCAAGTGTCAGTTGTTAAATAGAATTATGAGACATTGATATCTACAATTAAAAACTATTATTTTATGATAAATTTAGAATAAGTTTGAGAAAGCAGAACCGTTGTATATACAGGGTGTTGAGATACGAGAGAAATGTTTTGGTGTTAATCATCCTTCTGTTGCTACAGCTCTCGTCAACCTGGCAGTCCTTTACTCACAACAGGTATAGTCTGAACTTTTGAAATATTTACTGAGAGCATTTTGACCACATGAACTCAGACTTGTCAATTTGTAGGAGCGGGCCTCTGAAATTGATACTCTGACAAGTATAGTGCAGCTTTCTCTATCCACAGACACTGGTCTTTTAATCACCATACACCAAGATGTGTTCCAGTTTGTTTAAGTTTGTGAAGGTGCAGTATTGTTGGACTCATTCATTTTCTGTGTTTTTTTAAGAATAAATACCATGAAGCTGAACCAGCTTATGAAAAAGCTTTAAAAATTTATGAAGACAGTTTAGGTTCTCACAATCCTCGTGTTGCTGAGACATTGAGAAATTTGGCTGTCATGAAATATGAACAGGTAGATAGACATTTCATCATATGATAATAATAGATTTATTATTCCCTTATTCAATTATTTTGTCAATTAATAACACATGAACAATGACACATAATGGTAAATAACCATTTGAAAATTTATTGTACCAGCTTATTGTGACAGACATTGTGACTAATTGTTTTTCCCAGTAATTATTTTGTCAAATAAGCTAACAGTAGTAATATAATACCTGAACAACACTAAACTGGTTGTTTTTTTTTATTTTTTCAGAAAGATTTTGAAACAGCTGCCCGATTGTATAAAAGAGCTACAGAAATCAAGGAAAGTGAAGCAAACTATACAAATAAAGTTTTATCTCGGCGTAGTTCTAGTGGTGAAACAAACTCAACTATAAAAAACATACTTCATCCATCCTAACATCCTTCATCCATCATGGTAGAAAAGATACAGGCCTGGCTTTGGCTGCCCGATTTTCTATCCCATTCCCCCTACTTTCAAATTCTATCATCATTTTACATAGTGAAAGAAAGACTTGTGGCCCTCCTGAAAAATTTTGTTGCCACTGGAAACAACATGACACAACATGACATATATTTACATTGTAAATATTTAGTTTGTGAAAAAGAAAATATTTGAACATAATATATTAAAGTCATGAACTTGTTAACTTGTCTTGTTAACTCCGTCCAGTATTTTTACTATATATTCTTTATGTATTTAATATATACATACATATATCTGATGTATTTAAAGGTATTGTAAAGTTTTGGTTTCTAAAATTTGTAATTGTATTGGTAACAAGGATATGTTGATTTTCAGTCAGACTGCTGTGGTTTCTGCATAAATTTTGTAGAAAACCTCTTTACAATCCTTTAATATTATCTCAAAATGACATTAGAGATAGATAGAAGTAGATACAACATTAAATAAATAAAAACACTATTATAGATAGAAGTAGATACAACATTAAATAAATAAAAACACTATTATGGATAAACTACTCCTTTCTTTAATTTCACATACAGGAATCTTTATCAAGCACAAAATATTAAATTTATCAAATATAGAATTTACAATCCCTTTAATATTGTCAATCAATAATTGTTTGTTGATGTTTGTATTATTGTTGGTAATTGTTGTTATCAAGAATTTAATGTCTAAATATTATTCTGGCCTTCAACAATACTTTTATACATATATTCTGAAATATTCAAACCATAATCAAGAAAAGCTTATATTTTATCATCATGAATTTTATATATTTAATGACATTTTCAATTTTAAATATGTGGAAAATCTAGTCATTGTTGTAGGATGAACTCTTTTTACTCATCTATAAAACATATCATGAATGTTAAATCTGTGCACAATAGATCTATCAATAAACAATATTAGCAATGAGGATGACATTTGACAAACATTATCTGAAAAACACAATAATTTATACTTGAATTTTACTTTAATAAATATTGTATTATTTTATGGTTTCTAGTCAAATGCTTTTTAATATTTTTATTTTTGTTACATTTACTTTTGTTTGTCCACTCTATGACAGCTGTTTTTGCTTTTAATTGAAAATTATGTCAATAATTGTTTTTTATACGAAACTCTTATTTTACCACAATCGTGACTTTAGACCTACTTGCGGCTTGTCGGCATTTTTCTTTCGCCCACGTTTTTTCTTGACCGCAAGTCCTTATACACAATTATTTACCTGTTTCTCAATTTTTTGCCACCACCATCCTAACGCAATTCTAAATTTGTCTACGCACTTGAGTATTTACCATTTTGTCTACGCACTTACGTGTGTATTTTTGGCTACGCACTTACGTGTGTATTTTTGTCTACGCACTTACATGTGTATTTACCATTCGTGTCTACGCACTTAGCTTGCTAAGGGTTTGATGATGCATAGAAGTGTAAGGGTGTACCTTATGATTTTGTTAAATTTCTGTTAATTAAGTTTAATAAACTTTAAATGATACAATTTTGTTTTATGGTATAAATGGAAGTTTACACGTCAATATGTTGCTCTAGCCAAATTGTGAATATCACTTTATATAATATAAGTTCTTCTTTACTGATATGAACTTTTTTGCTTCACTTGTGTTAAATATTTGAAATTTACAGAGTAAAATAGATTTCTGGATTCCTTAATTTTCTCTCATTTCCCTTATTATTTGAAAATTTGAATTATATATTATCAACAACTCAAATTAAATCTCAACAATTTCAAGGGCATCAAGTTTTGCCAATGCCTTTACACCAATTATTGACTTGACGTGCGTGCGATAACTGAACTTGACACAGCTGCATCCTGTCACAATTTTAAATGTATAATTATCAATTTGCAAAACTCGAAATCTTTACACTATATCTAAAAAAAGAAAGCATAGCCGCGTTAAGTTTAGGCATAGCTAGGCTAATAATGTAAGTAAACTTTACAAGGACTTGGCGCTTGTGTATTGCTTAGATTTGTTGCTCGTGGATATGTTTATAACATATGCCAGTGTATTGGTTAGACCAGATGCCAGCGTATAGGTTACACATGACGCGCGTCCATTGGTTAAACCAGACTCGTGTGCTTTTTTAAGACTCTCGCGCCTGTGCATTGCAGCCTGTCCTATTGGTTAGACCTGAAGCCAATGAGCTGATAAGACTTGACGTGGGTTCTTTGGTTTGAACGTGCCTGCATGGGTTAAATTTGACGCCCATGCATTAGTTAGACTTAACTGAACTTAATGATTATTTTTATGTATAAATTGAAGATTTATAGTTTTAATATTTGATAATTATACATTTAAAGTTATGAGAAACTTGGAGATATTTAAAGTTATAAAAGAATGAAAGTAAAAATTCCAAGTAATAGACTTGATGAACGTGCATTAGTTAGTTGGTTATTCGTTGTTTTAGTTGGCACTTGGCGCGTTGCAATTCGTTGGACTTTATGCCCGGGCATTGTTTAGACTTGCTGTACGTGCACTGGTTAGACATGCTGTACGTGTATTGTTTAGACTTGCTGTACGTGCACTGGTTGGACATGCTGTACGTGCACTGGTTAGACATGCTGTACGTGCACTGGTTAGACATGCTGTACGTGCATTGTTTAGACTTGCTGTACGTGCATTGGTTAGACATGCTGTACGTACATTGTTTAGCCTTGCTGTACGTGCATTGTTTAGACTTGCTGTACGTGCATTGTTTAGACTTGCTGTATGTGCATTGGTAAGACATGCTGTGCGTTCATTGGTTACTCATGCTTTACGTACATCGGTTAGACATGATATACGTGGTTAGGCCTACTGTCTGAGGAAAGCAAAAAAAAAATTCTTTTAAGTGAATATAATACTGTTAAGCAACATTAAGATTACATGTGTACGTAAGCATTTCACCCTAATGTGGGGACTTTGTTCGTCTGTTGATGCTTGTTCCTGCAGGTTATGGCTTTAGTCTGCGTTCTTTTATATTCTAAATATTTATTTGGCGAATCCGTAGTCAGTAGTCAGAAAAGCTCTATTATCAGGTAAAGCAAAAGTGAGACACTTTTAAAAGCTTTCCATTTCTCGTGTTGTATTGTAATATAAGAAACAATAATAGACGACAAAAACGCTTGTACATAGTTTTTCTCAACAATTGAATATGACTATTGTGTAGAGTAAGTACATGTAGATGTAGTTGTTAAGAAGGAAAATATCCGTTTGGAACCAAGATAAAGGCCTTTTGAAATAACTGACAATATGCCCGGATGCTCATGGAATAGAAAATACTACCGGTAAAAGTTTGCTTACATTTTAAAGGTGTTATTCTGTGTAAATGAGTATAGCTGCGAATACACGTGTACGCAAACTCAAGCGGAAACTAAGACGCAAAGTCAACTAAAAACGAACCAGAGCAAATCTTATCCAAATCCTTAGCAAATCAAAAAGTCTGCTTACATGTGTCCTCAAAATCAATCTCAACACCCCCGTAAGCGTGACGGATGGATCATCCCCATTATGACATTATTACCGTGGGGGGACTTTCCTCTCTTCCTATGTACAAAACGTTTTTGCTGAATCGTCGTATACAGACACATGTAATCACAGTTTGAGTTTGAGTTACGATTAAGTACACATGTGATCGTAGTTTTAAAAGTGTACGTAAATCTAATATATTTTATGATTTTTGGAAGGTGTAAGAAAACTTCTGAACGGATTTCAGCAAAACAAAAAACTAGATTTTTTGATGGAATCAAATGAAATTCGGTATCTGTATACATATTCATAAAACGAAGATCAGTTCGAAATTGAGCTATTTTCGACCGTTAGAAGCGGAGTTATTGCCCTTGCCCCAAAATCTTGAATATACTGTTACTCTCTTAGTTTTCAACCGATTTTGATTAAACTTAAAATGGACGTCATTGGACCTAAATCGAAAGATTTGAGAAAGTTTAGTTTACTTCTGATTAAATTTAGGACTTTTTCAAGATTTAAGCCTCTTACGTCAGTTTTGAGGAGTTATCGCCCTTTAACCTCTATACAGTAAGTGCTTCTATCAACATCAATTTCTCGTAAACACTCTAAAAACTGGAGTGTTTGAAGGAATCAAGTGAAATTCGGTATGTGCATACGTATTCATGAAACGAAGGTCCGTCCGTCCGTCCGTCGGTCGGTCCGTCCATCAACATTTGCATGTAAACTCTCTAAAAACTAGATTTTTTGATGGAATCAAATGAAATTCGGTATTTGTATACATATTGATAAAACGAAGATCAAGTTCGAATTTGAGCTATTTTCGACCGTTAGAAGCAGAGTTCTTGCCCTTGCCCCAAAATCTTGAATATTTACCATCCGCATGCCATGGTGTATATGGCTGTGGTCCACTATCTTTTAAGTAACCCTTTTAGAACAAATTCAGTTTGGCGCAGTAGATACAAAGATGTAAATAGCATATTTTACAAATATTTTCAAGTATAATTTACGACGTTTTAAATATGAAAATTTAACATACTGCCCCTTTAAAACGTTGATAAAGTACATTTGTCATGAGGACAGAAATGTTCTTTGAAGCGTCAGGTTGGAATTTATTTTAGTTGCGGCTATTGGATCGATGGTGATGTATATAAATAAAATACAACATACTCGATAAATCGTTTATACCTAATTTCAGAAACCAGACTTCGAGAAGTATAAGTTAGTATTTCCGTACAGAGCGTGACATATGTTAGTGAAAATTCAGAAACTACATGTCGTAATGTTCACCAACATCAGATTGAATATTAGGGCTGAAATACACGTCATATTTATTATCCTGTTTAGTCTGTATGTGTCGGCATCAATGCTCGAACATGAGTACAGAGTGTGTACCGGGCACTATGCTAGATTGTACGTGAGAGAATCGAGATTTGAAAAGCGTGATATATTCTGTTATTTTTATTGTGGACAATTTGACTGGTGCCGAGTTGTCACAATCCAAACAGTCGTAAGTGGGGTCACCTGTCTCTATCATGAAAATCTGTTTGAAGTTGATTGTCACACTTTTCCTGTTGACGCTCAAGGTGGATATAAACTAATCTATAAGGTAATTACTTTATTCTATATGAAGAGCTATCCTAGCGACTAAAAGTCTGTGTCTTTCTTTCCTTTCTTTGGTTGTACAAACTAAATATGATAACTGAAACATCTGACTCTATTCCAGCCTCTGATAACTATTTCGACAGTTGTCTGCTAGTGTACATCAGCCGACAACACTGTCAAAATACCTATCAGGTAGAGGCGGATGTTTCGGACTAGGTTACATTTTGAGAATTCGTGGATGTTGATATCTACTTGAAAGAAACCTTCAGTTTATACCTAGAACATTTTTAACAAATGTAATGTTATTAACCTTTATTTGGACCTTTATCGTAGAATAATTGAAATTTAATTATAAAAAAAAATTGTAGAAAGAAGAATATACTCCACCAATTGACAATGGTTGTAAGAATGGTGGAACTCGGTTGAATACAGGTTGTGTATGTGTGGATAATTACGTCACACCCGACTGTAGTCGTTTAGCACACGGTATGTTGAATTAGTTCTTTAATATACTGACAAATGACATTGAGATAACAATATTTTGACTATGGATCAAACAGGTAATACGTCAGTGTAGAAATCAAAACAGCTCCTTAAATCGTCCATGCTGAAGAAACAAATGATGTTGTTGTAATCTGACACAACTAATTGCAATTGAAATGCTATGTTCTTGTGACAAATCGTACACGTTTATTGAAACAACAAGGTGTTTTAATCATGTCGACTGTTATGTTACAGATTGCTCTGAATTCGCTGACAGCAGTGCCCCGTATGGCTTTACAATTCATATGGTTAGGCCTTATGGTTACAACAAGTCAATCGAAGTGTCGTGTACCATAAGGTTTGCAATGACACTGATTTTGCTCAGAGATGAACGAAAGTTTCACGGCACTTTCAACAGATCTTGGTCTGAATATAAATACACGTTTGGTGACAGCGGCAACAGCGTGAAAAGCTACTGGATGGGACTTGAAAAGTTGTATATTTTGACAAATCAACCGGGTGTTAATTTCAGATTACAAGTGTTTTGTTACAGATTTAGTCCAATTAAATACTTCAATACTTATTACAATAATTTTGTGATCGGAAATGCGTCAACTTCTTATGCGATGACTACTGGACTCTTGACTCCTGGTGGATTATCTGGTGTGGATGGTATGGGTGCAAATAGAAGTAATGTTCCGTTCTGTACCTATGATAGACCATGTAGCGGCCATCCTAATGGTCTAAATGGTGGATGGTGGTATGTAAACGGTCTAGAAAAATATGCCTTGACTAATCCTTTTGGAAGTCTTCATTATCTATTCTCGAATTCTGACTTGGTAATTGATGTAGTGTCTGTTGCTTTAGATCGAATACAACCATAGTGTTGCAAACAAGAAGCTTTATGAGAATTGTCCTTATCCGGTAGTCCCGTAACGGCTCTATCTCTCATAAGTTCAAATTCATAAAAGTACATCGATACTTTCTTTATTTTCATTATATTACCAAGATAATTGCAACAATTATGGTGATTTAAATATCTTGTTGCATGCTGTATTTATTTATTAATGAACATAAGTATATTATATTATTATTAAAGATTAGTTCCATACGAAAGCCTTTTAGATTCAGTTTGAAAATATGATGCACAACTCGAAATTTCGGATTCCACAATTGCCATTAACCCTTCCAATGTCCATCATTCGCAGATAGAAGAAGCAAATATTTATCTAACTAGCTTTATCAATATCCATCTTGCTTCAAATTCGACTCAATATTTCAACTGAAGGGACTAGAATAGAGCTGCAACGATTCTTGAACGATTTATTGAGATAATTATCGCGATTCATTTGTTACAGAAGGAAAGAATAAAGTCAGAAATGAATTTGTGTAAATTTTGATGTGAAAATCGTACTTGGAAAATGAAAACATGACATAATTTCAAGAATTGTGTGTCATAATTGTTATTAAAGGGGATAAGAATTAATCGTCCCGATGCATCACGTTTAGTTTTATCCAACGCAATGCATCGATAAGAAGGGAAGAATCGCCCTAGATTAGAACTAACGAATCTAAATAAATTTATGAAAGAGATATTAAGCACCTTTAAATAATGTTAATTACTGCCAGTCAGTTCAATCATGTATTTGGTTTTTATTGAAATGTTAGTTTATAACGATATATTCTTAATATTTTGTATATTTATATTCATATATACCTATTATTGGTATACGAATAAATTCATTATTACAACTCGAAATTTTGAGTTCTAAAAAAAGTTAGCTTGCCTGGCAGCTCTGATTTTGAATAAAAATATTTGGCAGTAAGTAACAATATGTATGAAATATTGAACCTTTAGTCATATACTTCTTTTGAACTTTTTTGGGTGGTGCTGAACAATATTACAAAGTTTTGTCAAAAGCCGATTAAGTCAATAACTTATATAAAATATTATCGATTTTCAATAGTGTTCATCTTTGGTTAATAATAAACAATCTCTACAAAATCCGGCGAGAATTGTGCCTCCTTGAGTGTTTACAAGCAATTTAACATGAACATGTTTACAAGAACATGGGCAATAACTCTGATAAGATATTTTTCGATTTTTCTGATTTTCAATGGGATTCATCCTTGAGTGATAACAAATACTCACACTAACGATTCAATCTTTGATATTTTGTAATATTTACATTATTGACTAATTTATTTCAGTGCAATGTTGGGGCATTGAAATTGGTTTTTATTTTATTTCATTTATTTCATTAAGTCCTTCTAGCATTTGGTTTTATTTAAATGGGTATTTGGTCATTTCAATTTTTTTTTAAATAAATCAAATATTATTATATTGTTTTTTAGCTCTTTAGACTACGAGTACAAATTTCCATTTTAACTTGTTAACCTTAACATCATGAACATTGCTTTAACCCTGTCCCTTCTGTTGAATATTAACTTGTTACCTTTCAACCACAGTAATCACTAAGTTTCGTCAAAATATGTCAAAAATTGTTTCTCCTTGAGTGTTTATGCGCTAAAACTGGAGCGATATCTCAAAAACAAGGGCAGTGGTTCATACTAAATATTTTTCTATTTATTTCTATTTCTATGGCTTTCTATTGATTCCCCAATCCCCCGTGACTTGCAACACTCATGTGGATTCCAGAATTATTCATTGTAAACCCATTATTTCATGGTCTTGTGGAACTCAAAATTTCGACTAGTGGAATCCGAAATCCAACTCGTGCTCACTCTACAGGCTTCAACACAATAAGACTTGTACTTGTGCGTATGTTACCTTGTCTGGCAAGCTATATTTTCAATCTAGTTCATTTTATTTTTTGTAATAATAAATAATGATATTATTATTATTATAAAAAAAATATATATAGTTAAAACTTCGTCGAATATTGATCTTATATTTGAATAATATTGTGATTAGATGTAAAGACATTTGCCTTTCTATTGGAAGATTTACTGTTGCCTCCGGTTTCTTTCTTTTCCTTAACAACATTTGTTTACCATTAATTGCGTATATAACATTGATCTTATATTTGAATAATATTGTGATTAGATGTAAAGACATTTGCCTTTCTATTGGAAGATTTACTGTTGCCTCCGGTTTCTTTCTTTTCCTTAACAACATTTGTTTACCATTAATTGCGTATATAACATTGATCTTATATTTGAATAATATTGTGATTAGATGTAAAGACATTTGCCTTTCTATTGGAAGATTTACTGTTGCCTCCGGTTTCTTTCTTTTCCTTAACAACATTTGTTTACCATTAATTGCGTATATATTATTAAAACCAAACGTACTTTAAAGATGGGTTTCCTTATTTTCATTTATGAAAATGAAAATTCTAATACTGATATGAAGTATTTTTTTTTGTTTATCCAGATTGTACATACGGGACATTTATGATTGGTTAAAACTCTTGAAAATTTGCATTAAGAACAGAATGATATGATTAAGAATATATGATAATTCATTAAAAACACCAATTAATCAAATAGTTTACTTAATTTGACACTAAAAAATAAGGAAACCTATCTGCAAATATAGAATTTAAAGGTTTATGATATGAACTGATTTTTTTTTATCATTCCATGTTTTGCCTTTCTTTCAAATGGCTTTCATTGTTTAAACACACAAGTATATACAGTTCAAGGTGTATTATAAATGCCAATGAGTTGGCAATCCTAGTCGCAGAGTTGCAACAGGTGTTCATGAATAGATGAACATCCCTATGCTCATAAAGCACACAATTGAGCAGATTTCTGCGTGGAATTCGTCGCTGCTTGAAGTCACGTGTGTAAACAAAACATTTATTTTTTTAGGTAAAATTTTAAATAAAAAACACTTTCAGCTACATATAGGCTGTTGAATCGCACAAGTTGAATCGCACAAGTTGAATCGCACAACACCTTCCATAGGCTACTGACCTACCACAGCAAAGTCGCTTTGACATTTAAGTGTCTCTTTTAAGTCATAACTTTACAGAGTAAAAGGCAAATACAAGGTAGGCCTATAATTGTTATAATTATTCCATGGTCGTTTTAACATGCGAGAGCCGAGGGCGCTGAATATATGAAGAAATTCTAGCCAAATTTGAAAACACTGTTAAAAGATATAATCGGAGAAAAGTCTTCCTGGATCAATAACGTCTGCACCCAAAAGATATTGAGTATTTGGGCTGTTCAGATATTGAGTATTTAATGATGTTTCCGTTATTTACTTTATTTTCTTACTAAAAATCTATAAGAAGGAAAAAACATCCATTCAACCTAAGTTTACACTGCAAATAAGTGAAACAAATTCAATTGTAAGTATGGGTGTATTGCGTCATTAAGGGTGTTTTGAACCATTTTAGACTTACACAACCTAAAGGTTTTACTATGCTATGGTTAGATTGAATTGAATTTGGTCACGATCTTGGTGATCTTGATGAATATGAATTAATGTAAAATTACAACATGTGCAATGAAATCATTGCATAACCTACACTTCCCCAGTTTCGTCTATAACGATCCTTTGACCGATTGTTGAAGTTTGACTTAAAGGATTACTTCACAATGTTGAGGGGGAATAATGTAATCTAATTTTTGAATACTGGTGTAACACTTCAGAACGTTTATCAGTACAGAACATTAAAATAAGATCCAAATTGATTTCATTGACTCGGAATATGGAACAGATTAGAACTCAGTAATCATGTCAATTATTTTTGATGTATGCTTTCAATAAACAGATTTTATGAAATGTCCAATGAAGGGGGGGGGGGGGGGGGGGGGGGGGGGGGGACCCCCCCCCCCCCCCCGAAAAATTTTGGAAATTTT